TCAATAAAGTTTTCGGATGTAAATTGGGTCCCATTATCCGTTTCTACTATACGCGGTATACCAAAACGTGAAAAACAATCCCCTATATCTATTAATAGTATTTTCTGAATCAGGTGTGTTCATCACGAATACCTCTGGCCATTTAGTGTATGTGTCCACAATAATTAAAATTGTCTTTGTCCTAATGGGCCCTAGAAAATCAGCATGTATTTTTTCATAAATGTAGTGAGACTCCAGTGACTTTATCAGCTTAGCCTTAGGCGGATCTGGCCGCAATTGGCAACAAACTTTACAGTTATTGACCTGCTGCTCAATCTCGTTATCTAGCGATGGCCACCAGAAATAGGAACGGGCGCTGGACTTCATCTTCGTCATACCTTCATGATTACTGTGTAATTCTTTAAGTAACTGCCCTCTCAGTGCAACAGAAATTACCGCGCGATACCACCACATTATAATTCCTTGCTCAATAAAAAGCTCCTGCCTCCTAGCTATAAATGGTTTCAATAGTTCATTTTCTGTATGCTTGGGAAATCCATATCTAATAAAATTGAACGCTTTGCCCAAAATTTGATCTTTTCTTGATTCTGATCTCAGTTTTATTGAATCTATAGGTATTAAACTCTCAACCATGTTTAAATAATCATATTCAGGCTCATCATTTTCATAATCATCCTGTAAAGGCAATCATGACAACGCATCTGCTCTTGAGTTATCCACTCCTCTGATAAACCTAAAAGTGTAATCAAAACCAGCTAGAAATAAAGACCATCTTTGAATTCGACCCGCCGCCATTTTCGGTAGGCTTTTATATTCACCAAAGATCGATTTCAATGGTTTGTGATCACTTAATATTTCGAACTTCCGTCCCGCCAAATATTGGTACAATTTAGATACCGACCAGTAGACAGCCAGAGCCTCCTTCATAATTTGAGAATAATTTCCCTCTGCTTTGTTTAATACCCTCGAGATATAGCATATAGGCCTCTCACTCCCATCTGGTAAAACATGAGACAGAACTCCTCCGATTCCATAATCACTCGCATCACACGCTAAACGAATTGGTTTATCTGGGTCATAATGTACTAAAATCTTTTGTGAAGCTAACTCAGTCTTTGCATATTGAAAAGAATTTTCACATTGTTTTGTCCATTTAAATTTTTTCATTTTCCCTACTAACTCATATAAGGGTTTTAATTTCCCTTGTAAATTTTCACAAAAACGAGAATAATAATTTATCATTCCCGCGAAAGCCCTAACCTCTGTAATATTTTTGGGTCTAGGAGCACTTATGATTGCCCTTACTTTTTCTTCGTCTTTTTCCAATCCATTTTGTGATATTTTGTGTCCCAAATAATAAATGTTTTCTTTGAAAAATTCGCATTTTTTTTTCGTTTAATCTAAATCCTGCTCTTTCTAGTCGCTTTAACACCTTCTCCAAGTTTTCTAAATGCTCTCTATCGTCTTTCCCTGTTACTACTACATCGTCCAGAAAATTTACTGTACCCCGACACCCCTGCAAAACCTTTTCAATTACATTTTGAAAAATAGAACAGGCTGGCTTCGTGCCATAAGGTAACCGCTTTATTCTATATATACCTAGAGGTGTGCTCCAAGATAATAACTCACTAGTTGTATCATCTAGTACTAACTGGTTATAAGCATTGAGAAAATCGAGTTTTGAATATTTTTGTCCTCCTTGTAACGCGGCGAAAATGTCCTCAATACGGGGCAATGGATGGTTGAAATCTTTTAAATATTTATTTACTGTGATTTTATAGTTAGCGCAAACACGAATATCTTTGCCATTGGGTTTCATAACTGGTACTAATGGTGTTCCCCACAGAGAATTATCTGCCCGTTCAATAGCACCCTCTGACTCTAACCGCTTTAGTTCCACCTCCACCTTTTCCCGAAAAGCAAATGGTAAGGGATGAGGTTTGTGGAAAACTGGTTTTACATTTTCATCTATTTCTAAAGTAACTTTTTCCCCATTGTACCTACCCAACTCCCTTTGAAACAGCTTTGAATATTTTGACAATATTTTATCCAATTCATTGTTTTTATTTTGAATAGCTAGGTCATTAATTGTTATTTTGGAATTTTTTAAAGACATGTTAAATTTACTAATTATATCGCGACCATTCTGTATAGAAATTTTTACAGTAATTTTCCCTTCTGGATTCACAATTTCCCCAGAGTAGGTTTTTAATTTAATACCTGTTTTATTCAAAGGAATGTAGCTTAAATTATCTAAATAAAACTTATGAGGCATGCAAGAAATACCTGCTCCAGTATCCAATTCCATCTGTGTGGACACCTTATCATCTACTACAACTGGAATATACAGTGGCTTTATAAAATTAACTTGTTGAATGTCTGTTAAGTTGTACAATGAAAGTATATTCTCATTTTCTTCCTCTTCCACCAAATGATTCTGCTCTAATTTGCATGCTGCCATAATATGACCCTTTTTGCCACATTTTTTACAAATAAATGTTCGGTACTTACATTTACTAAAATTATGCTTGGTTTTGTTACAGAAATTACACCTTAAGTCTTCTGGATCACTATGTCTCTCTTTATCACTATGTCTCTCCACTATTTTCTCACCATTTCTGGAAATATTACTACTAGAAGTACTACTTGCTTTTTGTCTAACTTCTTGTAGCTTATTCATATAGATTAGTCCAAAGAAAAGCAATTGTTAAGGTAGAAAACATAGACCCCAGGGCAAGTATTAATAGAATAGTGATAGTCGAAAAGAGTAATGGTAAATTAAGAATATGTTTAGATCCCTCAGATCTGAATAAACATATAGTTCGCAAACCTAGAGTTGGGGAGTCCATTGAGGAAATATGTTCAAAATTATTAAACAAAAATGTATATTCTGTTTTTGATTTATCTGAAAGTTATCACCAACTTTCAATTGATGAAAATTCTTCATGGAAATGTTGTTTCTCTACACACTATGGAACTTACAGGTTTTTAGTTTTACCTTTTGGGTTATCAAATTCTCAAGACCTTTTTCAAGAGGCAGTTGAAAAGCATTTTGGTGATATTAAAAACATTGTAGTTTGTCATGATGATGTGATCATAGCAGGGGCGTCTCAAGATGAACATGATCAAGCGGTCAAAGAGGTGATAAATAGAGCAAAAGAGGTGGGTGCTAGATTTAATAAAGAGAAAATTCAATTTAGCAAAAAAGAAGTAAAGTTTATGGGACAAATTTTTTCTCATTTAGGAATGAAAGTAGATCCTGAGAGGACAGATGCTTTATGTAAATTAGAAACTCCAAAAAGTAAATTAGAGTTACAAAGAATAATAGGTTCCTTTAACTATATTAGACGTTATGTTAAATATATGGCTAAGCACATGCAAATTTTATGTGAACTTTTAAAAAACAATGTAGAATGGCAATGGTTGCCTAAACACCAGGAATGTTTTGATAAGTTAAAGAAAATAATTTCAAATTCTCCAGCTCTGGTACCATTTGATCCAAATAAAAAGATAGTTTTGCAATGTGATGCATCCAAAAATGGAATTGGGTGTTGTATGTTTCAAAACTATGATGGTATGTTGAAATTAGTTGCATGTTCATCTAGGTCTATGAATGAACATGAGATAAATTACAGCCAGACAGAGAAAGAGTTATTAGCCATTTTTTATGGTACACAAAAATTTCATAACTTTATTTACCAGTGTGATGTTGATGTCCAAACAGATCATAAACCAATAATTTCAATTATGCAGAAACCAATATGCAAAATTGGGTCAGTAAGGTTGCAGCGTTTAAGGCTAAAATTATTAAAGTACATATTAAATATTTATTATGTTCCAGGAAAGCATATTCAATTTGCAGATATGCTTTCTAGAGCTAGTTTAAAGGCACAAACCCTTGATTTAGAGATGTTTGATATGGTTCATTCAGTCTCACTATACTTACCAATGACAGATAAAAAAATATATCAGTTCAGAGAAGAAACCTCTAAAGATAAAGTTTTGGCTACAATTGTTGATTTTTATTATAAAGGCTGGCCTAAAGAAAACAAGATTCCAGAGTATATAAAGCCATATTACAGTATTAAAAAGGATATATATGTTGAAGCAGGAATTGTTTTTGTTGAAAATAAAATAATTGTACCAAAATCTCTAAAACAGGAAATGATTACTCTGTTACATAAAGGTCATATAGGAACTAGTAAAACTATTAATAAAGCAAGATCTTTATTTTTTTGGCGAAACCTTAGGGATGATATTGTCCAGTTTATAAAAAAATGTAGAATTTGTGAAAAGTTAATTACTATTTATAACTGGGAATAAGCCACAATTAAAGATAAAAATACATTTATTGACGTTTCAATTTCCAATTCGGAAATCGTTCTCAAAATACAAATAGTAAATTTAATAAACGATTTCCGAATTGGAAATTGAAACGTCAATAAATGTATTTTTATCTTTAATTGTGGCTTATTCCCAGTTATAAATAGTAATTAATTTACAATGCCACAAGAAAATAGCTTCAGAACAATATTGTGAAAAGTTCATGCCAAATAATTATAGAGAGCCAATGTTAGTACATTCAATACCAAAATTGAGATCTAATAAAATTGCGGCTGATATTTTGGAATATAGACGCTTCTATATTCTATATTCTAAGAATAGTTACCGTCCAATAACAATGTCTTAGGTATATTCAAAAATCTTTGAATACAGGTATTTTAAATAATGTGATTGTTAGTAACCAACATATTTAAAAAATTCAAAATACTGCATCTGGCCTGTCTATATTCCGGAGACTTGTATATTTGGATTTAATAACCTTGAACATTTTTGGTGGTGTCAAGCAACGGCATGACGCGATGGATTACGAAACGAATGAAAATCCGGATTTTGCATCACCCCAAAAAAGCGATCATGATTCAACACTCACGATCAATATTTGGCTGTATTTAACGAAAAAACTTTTAAAGTAATTCATCATATAGTAGATATTGTAGTTCATAGCTAAGAGTTTATATTTTATTTTATCGTAACAATAATTGTATATACATTTAAATTCTTAACTTAGGGAAAATTTAAGAACTTCTAAAACAAAGCCTCTTCTGACGGCATTATCTAACCTGTAACAAAAAGGATTCATAAATTACATATGTAAACTAAGTGTAAGGTCGAGAGCTACTCTGCATATAGCTGTGATCTGTATCATTAAGTGTACCTACACCACAGTATAGTGCTTTAAAAGCACTATACCAAAGAATATAGACGCTTCTATATTCTATATTCTAAGAATATAGAGCGTCTATATTCTTTGACTATACCAAAGAATATAGACGCTTAACTATACTGTGCCTACACGGATATACGGGACATACAGTTTAACGTCAACTTCGAACGAACGACTAAGCTTATCAGAGTTTTATCAAGTATAAATATCATTCCCCTGTCGTCGTTCGTGCAGTAAAGAGCTACTTACTGTCAACGAAGAAAAGAGGTGCGTGTTTGTGCCAAATAGAACAGAATCAAACCTATCCTTGTAAATTGAACAGGTATTTTGAGCATTGTACTTTTTTGTAATATTATTTTGAATTTTAGTTTGATAAAAATAATTTTTTATTCATTTTTTGTGACCAAAAATTTGACATTTCTGACTGATTCTTTATGAATAAGGTAGAGGGGGGGGGTTACCCCCCCCTGATCCCAATGAAAATGAAAATAAAAAATTAAATTCAACTGTCAATATGCATAGATGTCAATATGTATTCTGAAAAAGATGTTGGCCCGTTTTTTGTGTTTATTGAGTCAACAAATATAAATAATATTAGAGTTGGTTCTTTCAATAATATAAAAATTGCGAGAGATATTTTTAATTTGAAATTAAATAATATTAATAAAATTAGAAGCAAAGGTTCAAACCGAATTTCTGTAGAGTTTAATAATTATCTATCTGCAAATAATTTCCTAAATAACAAAAATTTATTAGATCAAGGTTACAAAATTTATATACCTTTTAATTATATATCTTGTAAAGGAATTGTACGTCAAATAGATGTTGAAATAAATGAAAATGAACTTATTGAATGTTGTTCTACTAACAGCGATATTAAAATTCTCAATGCTAAAAGGCTAAACAGGAGAGTAGTCAAAGGGGATACAACTACATACGAACCTACAGGTACAGTTTTGTTCACATTCAGTGGTGTTTTAATGCCCAAATCAATGAATTTTTACGATCTACCAAAATTGGTTAATGTGTTCATTCCCCCAGTAACACAATGTTATAACTGCTTAAGATTTGGACACACCAAAACGAATTGTAAAGCAAAAGAAAAATGTATGAATTGTGGTGAGCTTAAACATACCGATGATTGCACTATGAAATGTTTCTTTTGCAAAGGTCCACATGTTTCAACAGCGCGTACGTGTCCGGAATATTTACGTCAAAAAAATATTAAAGAACTTATGTCTTATGAAAATTTAACATTTTTTGAAGCTAGTGAATACATTCCCAAAAATTACATAGAAAAAGACAAATTCATTTTCAACTCCAAAGATTTTCCGTCCCTTCCGAGTAATAGTACTAGAGTAAAGCCCGTTAATAATAAAACTATTCAACACAATACCGTTTCACCATCAGAAAGAAGAACACACAATTTCAAATCTTCAAAAAGGACATTTCAGCAGGTAGTTTCAAATACAAATAATAAAAGAAGAGTAATCCAACAAGGTTATGACAGAAATGCACATGATGAATGTCTTTATGTTCCAAATGGTAGACAAGAGAATTACTCCTCTTTAACTGCCTTATCTCAATCTAAATCTCCTATACCCTCTCAATCGGAATCGAAATCTTCTAATTCATATAATGTAAAACCAAATTCAGCCTGGAATGCCAGTGCATCGCATAGTAATTATAATTTTGATACAATACCTTCACATGATTTCCTAAAATCATGTTTAAACTTTATTAACATTTCACCAGATAATTTAAATATGGTTAAAAAACTTGTACTTTCCCATTCTAATCTTAGGTCCTATATGGACTTGGACAATTATTCAGATAGTGATTAATAGGTTAAAACTTAGAATGATCCTAAAATCAAAAATAAAAATCATTCAATGGAACATCAGAAGTATCAATTCAAATAGGGATACTCTGACAGATTTAGTCTCTAAAGAAGATCCAGATATAGTAGTTATTAATGAAACTTGGCTTAAAGAAGATTTCAATTTTACTCTAAAATTTTATCACATTATTAGACAAGATAGGAATGATGGCTATGGTGGAGTAGCTACCTGTATTAAAAATCATATTTCATTTCAGACTATTAAAAAATATAATTCAGACAAAATCCAATATATTATAACAAAGATTGATGACATATTCCTTATAAATATCTATTCCAGTTCAAATAACGAAATATCAGTGCCCTTTTTAAATTCCATGTTAAAAAACCTAGACATAAAAAAATTAATCATTATGGGCGATATGAATTCTCATCATCCAATTTGGGATAAATGTTTAATTAATAAAGGTGGTAAACAAATAGTTGACTTTATATTTGATAACGAGTTGACCATCCTAAATGATGGGTCAGCAACCTTGTTTCAGCTTCCCAACAATAATATCAGTGCTGTTGATTTAACAATCGTGAGTAGTAATCTGGCTTTATGTACCAAATGGGGGATTATTAAAGATTGCGGCAATAGTAACCATTTTCCCACATACATAAAAATCAATGACATTGAACTATCAGATACAACTTTCGTAAAAAATTATAAAATGAGAAATTCTTCAAGAGCTGATTGGGATCTTTTTTATGATGAAATATTAAACAACCTAGTAAATTTCTCAATAAATAAAATAAATTACAAACAATTCATGTCAGTTATCAATAGAGCAGCAGATGTTTCGATTCCTTATAAAAATTGTAGGATACAGGATAAACCATTCAATCCTTGGTGGGATGAGGAATGTACATTATGGGTTAAGAAACGTAAGGAAGCTTTGCACATATTTGACTCATCACCATCACTAGAAAATTATTTGTATGTTAAACATATAATTGCACAAACTAAGCGTAACCTTAGATTAAAAAAGAAAAATAAATTTAAACAATTTTGTGAAACATTAAATAAAGGATCCAATATTACATATGTATGGAATAAAGTAAAAAAATTTTCAAATCATAATAATTGTAAAAATTTTTATAATCCTTCAGATAACATTAAAAGAGAAATATTATATAATATGTCATCAGTTTCCATTAATCCTGAATTCCGGTTACTTCACACTAACCAAGAATTTGAACTTATCTCAATTTCAGAAATTGACACTGCATTGTTCAATAAAAGAAATTCTGCCCCAGGAATTGATGATATTTCTTACTCAATGATAAAACATTTTTCTCTAAAAGCCAAAAAAATCCTCCTAAATATATACAATGAATGTCTTAAAGGAGAACCCTTACCTAGCGATTGGAAAAAATTTAATATTCTTAACATCCTAAAACCCTTAAAGGACCCACTTCTTCCGAATAGTTTTAGACCAATTGTTTTATCATCTTGCATACTAAAAACATTAGAAATCATTATAAAAAATAGATTAGATTGGTTTTTAGAACATAATCTAGTTGTCAAAAATACTCAGGCAGGTTTCAGAAGAGGTAGAGGAACTGCCAACAATTTAGCCCTCCTTCATACCTTCATTTCAGAAGCCTTTGAATCATCCCATTCAGTCCTTGCCGTCTTCATTGATATTAAATCAGCATATGATAATGTGAATATATATAAACTTTACAATAAATTACAAAATTTAAATGTCCCTTGTCCTATATTATTTTTAAAATTTTGCAAAACAGGCTTTTATATACTAGATCCAATAACGGTGACTTTTTGGGCCCGTCTGTAGCAACTAAAGGTTTACCCCAGGGTTCACCTTTAAGCACAATTTTATTTAATATATACATATTGGATCTATTTTCCATTCTTCCTAAAGATATAAATATTATTGGGTATGCTGACGATTTGGTTTTATATGTTAAGGGACCAGTTATCCAACAAATGGTTAATAAAGTTAATATGGCATTGCACAATGTACAAGAATGGTTGTTAGAACATGACCTATGACCTATGAAGAGGTAGAGGAACTGCCAACAATTTAGCCCTCCTTCATACCTTCATTTCAGAAGCCTTTGACTCATCCCATTCAGTCCTTGCCGTCTTCATTGATATTAAATCAGCATATGATAATGTGAATATATATAAACTTTACAATAAATTACAAAATTTAAATGTCCCTTGTCCTATATTATTTTTAAAATTTTGCAAAACAGGTTTTTATATACTAGATCCAATAACGGTGACTTTTTGGGCCCGTCTGTAGCAACTAAAGGTTTACCCCAGGGTTCACCTTTAAGCACAATTTTATTTAATATATACATATTGGATCTATTTTCCATTCTTCCTAAAGATATAAATATTATTGGGTATGCTGACGATTTGGTTTTATATGTTAAGGGACCAGTTATCCAACAAATGGTTAATAAAGTTAATATGGCATTGTACAATGTACAAGAATGGTTGTTAGAACATGACCTATCTCTTTCTATAGACAAATGTGAAGCTGTATGGTTTTCGAAGGGACAACGCAAAAATTTTACCCCAGAAATCAAACTTAGTAACACAATTATACCATTAAAAGATCAAGTTAACTTTTTAGGCATAATTTTTCAAAATCATCTCAAGTGGGACAAACATGTTGATAATATTTTAGTTAAAACAAAGAAAAATATTAATATTTTACGTGCAATTTGCAGAGTATGGTGGGGCGCAGACCCTAGGACTCTTTTAATAGTATTTAATGCTTTAATAAGATCTCACTTAGACTATGGTTCATTCTTATTCAGACCCATATCTCAGAAATGCATTAATAAACTTAACACAGTATTTTTTGAAGGGCTACGAATTTCTTTAGGTTGTATGAAATCTACCCCTCACTTGGCATTGCTAGCAGAATCGGCGCAATATGATTTAAAACATAGAAGTTTAATATTAGCTACTAAATTTTTAAGTAAGATCGTTAATATCAAAAACCATCCTTTGATTTTATACCTTCTTAACT